AAAAGAGATGTTGACATCTTGACAAGTGAAAATGTTTTTGAATTTACTCTTTCAAAACTAAATTAAAAAAAAAAAAAAAGTCTTGTTGGTAAAGATCTTTATACTGCTGTGTTAGAAAGAATCAATGAAAGAAGAAACTCTGGTATTAGTGGACTTATTAGATATTTAGACTTAAATTTTTATAATAAAATTGTTGAAAACTCAATCCTTTATTATCCAAAAAAGAAGGATCTTCCAAAGATAGCAAAAGATCTATACAAAAGACTTTTTTTGAAAGATATAATATCAAATGAAAATAGTCCATCCATTGACTTAAATAATAAGAGTGCTGCTCTAGAGTCTAAGGAATTGTTACCAAAAAAAAAGAAAACTGATGAACTTTGTGAATATTTATCACACTGCTGTGGTTTCACTAACTAAAAATGTGTTATTATTTATAAAAAAAGAATTTGCGTTGTTTGACTTTTGTTGTTTTGACCTTTAATGATCGACCAAAAGGTTTGAAAAAGTTAAATTCAGCCCTTTCTTCGTTGCCACCTTCATCTGTGGAAGCTGAAAGATGTTTCAGCGCAGCTGGTTTTTTCATTACTAAACTTAGAACATCTTTAAGCGATGAAATGATTGATACATTATGTTTTTTAAAGTCATATTTAAGAAGAAATAAATAGTTTTCATGTGTTTGGCAAAAGCAATGAGCCAATTTTCTTATTCTTTATAAAATAAAACATGCTACCCTATATAATATTTTGTTATATTTTTATATTAGTTAACAAGATATTAACGCATAAAGAAATGTCTTTAGTTTTTACCACACACCAATAAACTTAGTACTATAACAAACGTTTTTGTACAAAGTAAATTGGTGCATGGTATTCATCCAATAATTATGTGAACTTTATATTTATTTTTTGAATTATTTAAATAATTTTTTAAAAATTATTTGTTATTTAAATAATTTAATTTGTATAAGACAAAACCTTTTTACAATGGTTTCTAGCAATAGCAAACAGACGTCTGGATAATTATTGGATAATTATTGCTGGATAATTATTTTGCTGATAGATATGTAAGTAACGATATCAATTGGAAATTGCAGCAGCACAATGTGAGGAAAACCATGGAGAAAAGTGAGGCTTGACCTGGAATCGTCGAGACGGAATAAAAGATTCCATGCCAGGTTGAATCCATAAAGTTATGTAAGAAACATATTTGTCAGCAGGAAGATAAAAGATTTCTACCCAAGAGCCATCACAAAGAAAATTACGAAAAGAGTCCATGTCAGTTTTAAGGTAGTTGTAAGAGGTACGATGATAGGGGGATTATAATGATGAAGAAAAATGAGACAATAGTTTTAGAGAGATCAAACCATGATCAGAAGCACCTAAAGGTGAATGTGGTGAAACTGATCACTGACTAGTATCAGAAACAAGACATAAATCGAGAAGAGAAGCTAATTGATTCGAATTGACTGGAAAGCGAGTTGGAAAGTCGACTATTTGAGTTAGAGATTCAGAAAGGCAAAAGTTGAGGGCTTTAACGCCTGCAGAGTCACTGACACTAGAGCCAAGCCATTCAATGTATTGAGCATTAAAGTCACCAACAACAACAATATTGGCTGATGGATAAAGAGAGAGGTCTATGTCAATTTGATCAGTAATAACATCAAAAAGAGTGCAGTCTTGAGATAAAGGAGAGAGATATAGAACAAAGAGAAAAGCAATTGAGTGAAGTGGTGCTAAACGAAAACACATAAAAGAATAGTCTGTGGATTCAAACCTAGTTTCCCGACAAATGGGTTGAATTCTTACGAATGTAAATGCCTAGGCCAAGCTTGTGACTATTGGAGTGTTTACAAATTAAAGGAAGATAACCATCAACACTAAGTTCACAAGATGAGACAGCTGAACTCAAACTAGTCTCACAAAAAGCAAGTAGGTGTGGTGAACTTTGTAACAAATAAGACTCAACAGAAGAAAAGTTACTTTGAAGAATATTAGTGAATGATAGGTTTAGAGAACTTGGTGATGACTATGGTTTTTTGTGTTTTATAGTTTTTGGTACTTTATTCATTTTTAAATTTGTTAAAGAATTTGACTTAAAGTATAGATAGTACTCAGTACACTCATTAATAACCTAAGCAATAGCCTCATTACTATTAATAAATATGAAGCAGTAACAAAGGGCTCAAAATGTGGCCTCAACAATGCACACCAAAAGTACAAACAGGGACACCATCCATGCGCAACATGGCACTGTTAGTACTTTGATATTTTTCAGCTGTTGATGTAATTAGCCTCTCTGAGATCTGCCACAGAGTTTGAGAAACCTGACTACCAGCCAGCCTCAGAACCATTAAACTGAGTTTTAGAGCTGTACCCTCATTAGGAGATAATAGAAGAGTTGCCTAGTCATAAAAACAGAGACACACGCAAAACCCATGCATTGAGTCAAGAAGAAATCCAGCATTCAACATCCTTAACTGGAAACAATGTTTTAAAAGTACACCTGCGCCAGCCTAGTAATAGATAAAGAAGGGTTGAAGGATGGTCAACAAATAGAATCTGTTTACCCCTTAAAGTATTATCTAAATTACATTTGAAAAGAATCATACAGTGGTCAAAGGTGCTTGTGAATGAAGTAATAGAGTTGAAACCAGTTTTGGTTGCAGATACTTGCTTTTTAAACTATATAACTAAAAAATTACACATTTTTTTATTATCACACTGAATGAGTTGGATTTAATACCACCCTGCTCCACTGACTTGTGAGCTCAAAGCATGTTGTACTTATTAAACTCTTACTTACAGTTAACTTGAAGACCCATTTTTCAGACAACCCTAATCCTCTCTTTGCTCACTTACTCCTAATTCCATTCTTTACCTCTATAAATCTCTTATTCATCATAAGAATGGAATACTGTTGCCATAGAGCTGGTTATTCTAATAATGCCTTTTTTATTCTAGGTCAAAGAAACATATAAATATTCACTTATCTACTTATCTTGCAAGTAAAAAAAATTTATTTTTTATTTTAAAATTAAAATTTTTAAAAAATTCAAAAGCTTTAATTTTTATGAGAAGCCTATTTGTAAAATGCGCAAATAGGCTTCGATGAAAAAAATTTATGGAAATTTCGGTTAGTATTTTTTGAACCAATAGAATTAGTTGTTCGTAGATTTAGCGGGTTTTTTGTGTTTTTTTATTTATTTTTCCACACAAAGAAGTTTGAGAACATTCGAGTTTATGTATGTTTCTGTGTATGTCCGTAAACAAAATATTTCAAAAATTACGATAAAATAATGAACTTAATTAAAGAAACATACATAAATTTAAATGTTCTCAAAACAACTAAAAAATCTGGACAGTTTTTCGCAACTAAATATTATTTCCGTGGTCAGTTATCGAATGCGATCGCACCCGCTTCCTGACCAAGCCTTATGATGATTTCAAAATAAGCTCCTCATAAAAATTCAAGTCTGAATAAATTGATTTTGAGAAAATGATGAAAAATTAAATTACTCATAGTTGCGCATCAACAGCAATTAATACTTTCTTTGTCTATTTTTAGGTCAAGAAAACTTTTAATTGATCTAATATTCAAATATATGATTTCAGTTTATAAAATGTGGAAATAGAACTAACTCAAATATTCATTTTTGTGAATGAGGGCGTTTTGTAGATGGGCTCCTTGTGATGTTTTATTAATTTATATATAAATTAATATGTTCAGAGCCATTTTGACTTGCTCATTTAAAACATTTTTTTTATGTTTTTGGATTGCGTGGAAATCTTTTTTTCTTGTGAAAATCTTTTATCTTGTTTCACATATGTAACATGCACCACATGTGCAATTATGTTGGCTTACCCCTTGGGTAATTATTTAGTGGCAGATTTTTTTCATTTCAGCATTGTATATTAAATACAGAATTACCAAAACAGAAGACTGATTTAATGCCAACTTCGTGAAATTCTTTTTTAAGTATAAAGCCTAACTTTGGTAGCTATGATAAAACAATTAGGTTTTATTGTAAATCTTTTTTTTTTTACAGTTTAGGTGCTCAATTTAGGTGCTCTAAAATGTTCTAATAATCTTATCACAGAGCACCATGGAGAAGCATTTAATGAGTAAGTTGATGATTTTTGGAAATTTATTATCCTTTGCAATATTAGCCAATGACATTGATTATATGTATGTCTACTTTTTAGTGAAAATATTAATATAAAAATCAATTTTATTTTAAATGTTATGTTCAAAACATATTTTATATGTCCTAGCTAAAAACCTTTGAAAGTACTAATTGCTACACCTAGTGATATGGACAAATTGGTTTTAAAAGTATGCTCATGATTCTTGCAACGAATGGAAAACTCATGTTTATGAAGGGAACGATTGGTTGAAAAACCTCATTGTTGTTGCACTTTTTGATATTTACACGTACATTGGATAGTTTAATCTTGTGAATTAAAAATTGTTTAGAAAGAATTTGTGTCATGTAAAAATGGTAAATCAAATGTGACTATTACCAAGGTTTATAAGATTTTAATGCTTATTAAATTGCATTTGATTTGATATGATGTTGATATGTAAAATGATTCTGAAAAAACAACAAGTATTGACAAACCTATTTAACCTATTAACCTATTAGTTTTTTAGAACAAAAAACTAATAGGTTAAAAAAAAAAGAAAGTCTATTAGTTTTTAAGAACATATATTTATACTGAATTATAACATTTGCAAATGCCTAAAATCTAGTCAAAATATTTTAATTTGCGATAATGGTAATTTGGTGATGACTAACGATTGGAAATTTTTTCTAAAATTAAAATTTTTTTTTTAATTTTATGTCGCAAGGACATTATTTTTGTTACATTACAATAATTTTTTTATAAATTTTAAATTTTGTTTAATGTGGCTCTTGTTAAATGAGCTAATCACTTTCTAATAATAATAATTAGTAAATAAAAACATAAATAGTATGACTATTAATAATAAAGTCTCACCTCTCACTTTCTCATCTGTAGATTTAACTAGCAAATTAACAGTTTGTAATGATTTATCAACACTTTTAACCAACGCCTTCTAAAAAAAATTCATGATTATGGTCATATTTCAATGATCATTGGTCATATTTCAATGTTCTCATAATATCATGATGCTAAAATTCTAAATTTTTGCTGCTTAAAAAAAAAAATTATAAAATAAAATAGAAGAACCAACTTTTAGTGCAAACGATTACAATACAAAGGTTTGAAGGAACAGATTTAAAACCCCCTACAAAATATATTCAAATAAGCAGAAGTAATACTGGTCAGCACCCAAAATGTATAAGTGATAAAATCAGTCAAATATAACTAGTTTTGTTGTTCTAAAAAAAATATGACATTAAAAACATTGTTTTTAGCTCTAGTTTTTATGATATATTAAGTTTTACTTAAGAACAGCCAATCATGTTACAGACTGCCATTTTTATATGGTGCTATCCCTACAGAAGAAAGAATAGAATTTCAACTACCCTAATATACCATCTCCAATTTGTCTATTACCTCATGTAGAAAAACTTCCCATTACTGATCCACCAGCAGACTCATCTCTTGAATATGAAGATAAAGAACCAGATTAAATAAACAAGATTTTTCTTTTACTCTTGAGATCCCCTCAGTAGATCAACAAAGAAATCACTAACACTAAATATCCCACAGAAATCACTAACACTAAATATATCAAGTGATCTGAATTTAAACCTATGTTTGTCAAAAATTCTGGCCTGCAGTGATTACAGCAGTGGAATCTGCTGCAGGAAGTAAAAATTTCAATATATTCTGACCAAGGTATTTAACTTTTTCAAATTCATCAGTAAAAAAAAAAGATCTTATATTCTGCCATGAGATTAATCATGAGTGATCTTTTGAAAGAATAAAAAGTATTGCCAGAATAAATAATTATTAGAACAACTTTGTTTACTTGTTCACAGATACATGAAACACATTTGAAAGATTAACATTTATATCAGATCCTCTGGTGTTATCAGAAAATTGAACTGAAAATTTTCATGATGATTGTGATGATATGATGATAATACAATGATGATGAAGACGACGGTAATATAAAAATGATGAAGATGATTATACTATGATGATACAATAATGGTGATGATAATGATAATAATGATGATGATTTCAAACAGATGAAGCTCTGCACATTGTAAAAATTTTAAAATTTATGAGCTAGCATTGTTATTGATAATAGTCTCATACATAAAAATGATTTCATAATGATTGAATTCCACAAGATTCCAAGAACTCCTAAATCCCCACAACTTAATATGTTTATTAATTTATCATTCTTAATTTTTTTTTAAATCCATGTTTTAAAATTTTCCTCTATAATTCAAAAAAAAATATATACCTAAATATTTTACTGCTTTTATAATTATTATTTTTTTAAGGGCGTTAGTTATTTTCCACTACCAAAGTTGAGGAAAAAAACAGATAAGAATATAATGAAAATAAAAACATTTTTGATATACAATTTCTTCGCAATTTTTGTAGGTCAGTATATAAGGAAAATACTTTATTTATTGCACTAGAAATACAGACAATTTTAAAATTTGTTTTTCAAATGTCTTTGCTAAATTTTACAGTTTTTATCAATGCACAAAAAATGCACTAATTATAAATAATTAGCTTACTTGCTTTTTTTTCCTATTAATTACTAATTATTAGAATTAATATTTATTTCGACATTATACTTAACGCCCTTAAATCCCGTCTTGAAATTGTTATCATCCTTCTTGATTTTGCTAAAGCTTTTGATAAGGTTAGACACTCTCTTCTATGGCTTCGACACAAGTACGTGTAGCTGGATAGCATCGTTCCTAAACACCAGCAGTCAAAAAGTCATACAAGGTGAATAAATTTCTGATTGGTTGGATTTCTTCAGTTCCGCAAGGTTCAGTAATAGGACCCCTTCTCTTTGTTATCTTCATGAACAATATGTCAAACCTTCCTCATCGCTGCAGTAAACTCTTTGCTGACGATACAAAACTAATAAGTGTTATCAAAGACACCTCTGACTACCAATTTCTCCAAAAGGACATCGATTGCCTAGTTAAATGGGCCAACACATGGAGCATGAGTTTTAACAAGGATAAGTGTAAAAACATGTTTTTTGACAAGAGAATTAACAACTGCCTCAACACTACATTTATTGACAACTTGCTTGGCTTGCACATAATGTTTACTATAACATACTGCATCGGTAACTGCCACAACCTTAGTGAGACCACCCCCAAGCATGACCTTGGTATCATTGTAAACAACCAACTTAAGTGGCAAGACCAAGTCGCACACGCTGTAGCTAAAACTAACTCAGCACTAGGCATGTTAAAAAGAACATTCCACTATTGGAACATTAACAGCTTTTGTGTAATATATACAACTTATATACGACCACATCTTGAGTTTTGCTCTGTCGCCTGGAACCCTTATTATTGTGGAGACATAGATGCTCTTGAATGAGTGCAAGAAAAAGCCACTAAGTGTACCTCATCTAACAAGTCACAATCACAAGTTATCACCAAAGACAAGCTGCAATAAACATTCAATCGCTTAAGAATAGAAAGTGTAGGAGTGACCTAATACCGTTTTTCAAACTATACCATGGCATTAACTAAGTTGAGCTTTGTAAACCAAACTCACTAACTCCAACACGTACAAGGGCCAGCCAACAGCCTACGTGGCTAATGTCATTGTCTTCAACGTCAAGTAGTAGCAAACTGTTCAAAAAGAGAATTCTTTCTCTGTAATTGCATCGTACCTGACTGGAACATCAAACTCCATCGTATCTGCCGTGTCAGTTAATGCCTTAAAAAATCAACTTGACTTTTTTTTCCCAAAACTTTTAAACAGAAAGAATTGACATTTATCATAGCGGAGCTTTGTTAGTTGCCCTGCTTGCAAATGTTTAAGCATTTGCTATAAATTATGTACACTATTATTATTATTAGCTATTTATTTGTAAAATTTTATTTTTATTTTTTTTACAAGTTTTTAGTTTAAAAAAATAAAAAATCATTAATACTTATATTCAAATATAAAATATTTGGTTGTTTTCACAACCCATATTGAAATAGTCTGAACCTTTGTTGGATTTGTTAAATTGTACATTTAAACCCAAAAGTTTTTTTCCTGATAAACTATTGTTACTGACGATGCTCCAAAAGCTTTTAGGCTAGTGCATTGTTAATTTAGTGAACTTTTTTAACATAATTTTCAGGAGCCTATTTAGAACCCTATTAAAATTTTTTAAATACATTTTTCCAAACAGAGAAATGCTTATAGTTATCTCTAGTTATTTGTACTAATGTTGGAAATTAGGCAATATAAAAGAAACAATTGGGCATCAAACGTGGTAAACACATTTATAAAAGAAACCATGAAAACTATTCTTTTATTTAATTTCTTCTGTCATTACAAAATTTATTATTCAAATAATATCTAATAAATTGCATATCAAAACTTTCAATTGTTAAATTGCTATAAAATATGTTTTTTTTGTATCAAATTTTTATAAAATTTCTTTTCTTAATTATTGAATTTTTCTAATTATTTTGTTAAAGTTTGATATTTTGTTACAATTTTTTTTCTTTTTTTTGAATATTGTTTTTTCTTTTCTCAGAAGATAAGTTTAGCTTTTTGTCGTGAATTATTTAAACACTTTATTAGTTAAAAGTTGCAAACTGCCGTTGTCTTCATATCTAAAAAATTACTTTAAATATGGATGAACAAGGTGTGTGACCGGATGCACTTCCTAGGAAGACTTGCTTAATACCAACTTTGCTAAACAACTTTTTAAGCAACTTTTAGCTAATGATTTCAAATATGTTTTCTCAAAACATAATTTCAAATATGTTTTTTCAAAACATAAATTGATTGCATGGACTATGTAAACAAAGATTAAAAAGAAATGTACAACCCTTTGTAATTAGTAAACTTTATACTTTATGAACTTTGTGTTAAAAGGATGGGAGAAGTACTTTCTCTCAGTTTAATGCTTAAAAACAATACACATACAATAGACACAAGCAATAAAACTTTAACTATATTGACAATCAAAAGTAGTAGACAGGCTAACTGTAAAAACTGTAAAAAAGGTTTTCCAATTATGGCTGTCCAAGAAACATGAAATATCATCTATTGGGAATTTCATTGAAAAAAATATTTCAAGATTGCAAATTATTTCTAGTTTGATTTATATATTTATTATCATATATATCAATATATATATTAAAATAAAAAATTTTACTAACTCTATATATCATCTCAGGAGTATATGTTTCCGACAGAACAAGTTCCTAAAAATTGTTCAAAAATAAAAATAAAAAAAAATGATAAATATAAAAACTAGAAACACCAATGAAAAATATAAATTACTTTGAAAAATATGTTTAAAAAATACAATTAAAAAAATATATATATTAAAAAAATATATTTTTTTTTATGCAAAATATATAAAATAATAATTATTAAATTTTAGTGATGAAATTGTTGATTGAACTTTTTTATGTTTATTTTTTTTTTTAAATGTATTTTTATTATTGAAACTCTTCTGTACAAGAATGTTTATTTTATGATTTTACAATGAAAGAGAACAAAGCATCCTATTTATATTAAAATTCAATATCATTTTAAAACATAAACTCTAAAATACAAAATTGCAAATTTAATCTATAAAATTGCAAATATTGGTATAAATGCAAATTGGTATTTTGCAATTATGCTGATTTGCACTTATGCCAGTTTGCAATTATGCCAATGTTTGGAAATTTATTTAGCGCACTTAGGCCAATTTGCACTTATGCCAGTTCACACAAATGCCAGTTCGCACTTGTGCTAGTTTTTGTAACTGCTTTGCATTTATGCCAGTTTGCACTTATGAAATTCGCACTTATTCAGTCATCTTTAGTTTTTTAGAATTTTTTTAAGGGAAATTAAGTCTTTTTTGCAATTATTTATTTGATATGTTTAGATTCATTCATTTTTTCACTCATTTTTTAAATTCTTATTGCAAATTGTTTTTATTTTAAATTAATTTTATTTTATATTAAGTAGAAAATGATTTTTATTTTATTTATTTCAAGCATTACTTTCAGTTGATTGCATACAGCAGTAGTAAGTGGCCGGGGTCCCAGCTCCGGCTAAAAATGAATTTTTTGCAATCCCGGCCTAGGCAAAAATTAAAGATTTAGCAGGGGTTGATAACCGGGGCTAGAAAAAAAATTATAATACTTTATGTATTATAATTTTATACTTATATTTACTATTTATTATATACTGGCATATATAAATATATATTTTTTTAAACTCTAACTGATTTCCAACAAGATTGCAAGTAACCAATATTAAGTTATGAGTTACTTTAAAATAGAAGATAGATTAAAACTATTAAAAAATGATTAACTGAAGACTTTAAAAGATGTAGGATGTGTTAAAAAGGGAAACATAAAAATGGGAAAGAGTTATAAAGCTTTTTTGATGTGCAGGTAAAAAAACTGGATTAACAAAAGTTTTTGTAGCATGAAGGGACAGATACAGTAAAAGGATGCAACTTGTTGAATAAGAAGCCAAGTAAGAATTAGTTTTGGTTAATCATAACTAAGATGATAGCTCATTTGAGCATTGACCATGATAGTATATTTGTAGAAAAAAGAAAAAAATGCAATCTTACAACAATGGGATAGTGGTTCAAGCTTGGCAGATAAAGCAGGTCTAACTATAATTACAATGTGCCTTTAGATTTAGTCTGAGAGTAAAAAGGTTGTTATTTGTCAATATAGGAATGCCAAGAATATTGCAATATTTTTTTGCAGTAAATAAATGAGTTTTGTTGCCTAAAAAAAATGATGGATTTCAAGTCCAGAACTTAAAACCACTGCAAGCCTTGGGCTGTTACAGAAGAGAGATCAGATTAAAAACCGGCTGCTTGTTCTAAGCAATCAAAAAGTGAAGATTTTTTTATCAATACAAGAGTATAAAGTCATCAGCTAATAGCGGCACTATGAATGAAATCTTGCCTGTAGCTCAAACTGTAGAAGTGTTTAATTAAGAATTAACTTAATCATTAGTAGCCATAGTGATTTTGATATTTAACAATGGATTAATCTGTTTAACTGGCAGAGTGTCATTATTAGATTCAAGAGTTAAATTCGAGTAAGAATATCTTTGCAAAAAACTCTGCCTTATTCTGGGCAGAAGTAAAAAGATCAAACCCATGAATTAGAGATAAAATGTTAGACTTACTTTAGTTAATGACACTGTTGAAGACTTACCTAAAGTCTCTAGAACCTAAAACCTGAGACAAGAAACAAGATTTATTAACTGAGAATAACAGAGCTTAACATCAGACAGGACCTTTTTACATTGGCTTCTTGGAATCATAAAAAGACATTTGCTTATAAGAGAGATGTTCTTGTTATAAAGATGAAAAAAATTATTACTGTTTAATAAAGCAACTACTCAAGATGGTAAAAAATGCTGAGTAGAATGAGGCTTGACTTAATATTGAAGAGAAGGAATAGATGCTTCCAAGCTTTTATTCCAAAAGGAATCAAAATTTCCAAGATGCACTTTATGCATACTTTTTATGGATATAAAAATATATATATATATTTGTTATTTATTTAGATGGCAAACAATATATTTTCATTCTTATATAAAATTTAGTATTTATATTTATAAGAAGATCAGATGGATGTGTGGTGTGACTCTAGCAAGACAAGAAGAGGAGACATAATCTAAGACAGATTAGAAAAAACGTTGTACCGAACAATGTTTGTTAGAAAAGATTTAAGTAATTTAGGTATCAGCATGTAGAGAGGTGGCAGCTTCAGTAGAAAGTGGTAGAAGTAAGAAAACTTGAAGAGTGTGCCTTACATATTGTATGAATGAGCTTTAGTTTTAAAAAAAAGCTCTAAATTGTTTATAGAGAAACAGCATAAAAGAGGAAGGCTAAAGCCTGATGATAATGATGATGATAATTATAATGATGATGATCATTATTACCATCATGATCATGATAATAATGATGATCATCATCAGGCTTTAGCCTTCCTTTTGTATGCTGTTGATGATGACAATCATGATGATGATGAAGATCATGATAATAATGATGATCATCATCATCATGATGATGATAATAATGATGACTATGATGATCATGTTGATCATTATTATATTTATGTACATACATATATATACAAAATATAACATGAATTTTGAATAAACAAAATACATTTTACGATGTATAAATGTTTATGCAGCCCCGATCACAAACCCAGCCCCAGCTCAAATATCAACTCTGGTCACTTACTATACAGTAGCTGAAATAAAACAAGCTAATTGAGATTAACCCATGAACTATAAAAAGCATACAGAAATAAAAGCATAAAAGTTGTTAATAACAAACAAAAGAAGGAGAAAAAACAACTAAAACTGTAGACAAATTAAATTAAAAAAAAAAAAAAACGATTAAAATAAAGTGATAATAAGAATAAAAACTTGAGTTTTACAAAATTTTTTATAAAGTCTTAAATATTTTGAAACAACTGCAATCACTAATTTTTATCTTCCTGGGTAAATGTTTTTATAAAAAAAGGTTTTATGTTTCAAAGTGATTTTGAAACAAGGTAACCTAATCAGACAAACATTACTTTTGGTTATTTGTCCATCAGGTCAGGCAAAGCTAATTTTAAAATTAACATGTGTACTTTTTGGACCACAAGTATCACCTAGAAAAGCTTAATTTTTTATTGTGACATATTAAGACATATTACCTTCATCTTGTATTACCTGTATTACCTGATTTACCATCTTGTATTACCTTGTATTACCTGAATTAAAAACTATTGTTTCAAATAATATTTAAAACATAATAGTTGTGAGAGACTTATGAAAATACTCTGCTATTTTTGTTGCAGTAAATTTGTTGTTTTGAAATTTTTTTTTGCAATCTCGTAAACTTGAGTTAATTTGCCCTTTCTCAGTCTAGTTAAGAAGAGATTCGAATGATTTGCATTTCTTAAAAACAAAAAATTACATTTTTAAACTTCAATTTTTTGTGTTTTCTATTTATTTTCGGCTGTTACTATTACATATTTTTAAAAAGTAGAATTTAAGCTTTTCTTATATAATTTATTATTTTTTTATAAATCTTTTTTTAACCAAAGCCTCAAGCAAAACAAACCTACCACTAAAATACATAAAATGCGACGAGAGAGTGTCATAAAAACGGCTGAAACAATTGTGTTAAGTGTTTCCATTTCAAAAATGTCCCTTTTATTCAAAAGTAAAAAGACTTCTTGTTTACAGCATTAAAATATTCAATAAATGACTAAAAACCTCTTATTTTATCTTTCCGTAAACAGTAAAAACTTTAAAATCAAAGTTTTCACATTAGTTTTCACATTAGTTTTCACTCAAAGCAATTTACTACCATAATCTCTTTATAGTCGTTTGAATAAATTACTAAACAAAAACGTTTCAGCTTTTGTATAACTTCTGCCCCATAGTATTAAGCTAAAACTTCACACTCGTAAATAATAAAATCACCAAATATTTGTAAACAAAATAAAAGAACAAGCTTTGTAATTTTTTAAATAAAATAAATCAATCAAAACGCGCTTAAAATAAAACAGCATTTTTTGAAAAAGAAAAAGCCTTTTTTTTCGGATCTCTCCTTAACTACGCTGAGTTGTCTATATAAACATTGTTTATGTTTTTACGTTAAAATTACAGCATACATATTTCATCAAAGTTCAAAAGATTATTTCGTATCATCCCCCACAGATTCAAAGTTTAATCCATTATGAAGTTTTAAAACATCACTTATTAGAAACTTCTAATTTCAATTTTTTGATTTAAACACTTAAACCTTAAGTGTACTATATAAAATACTTTTTTTTATGAAATTTGTTAATGAGTGCATTTAATGAGTCATGCTTTTAGTTTATACTGTTAACAAAAAACAAGTTTTAGCAGGTGATACTAGAAACCCTTTTGTAACAAAAAAAACCTCTAACCATAAAAAACTTAAATAGTAAAAAATGATTCAAAAAACGTTTTTTTCTTTTTAAAAATTAGTTAAAGTTACTTTATAAAATTATGATTAGTAAAACAACACAGCTTTCAAAATTGCCTTAAGTACTAGGTACTAAATAGTATGTTTTCCACACTTAATGCTGGATTTAAGTACTAGCTACTAAATAGTGTTTTCCACACTTAAAAATTTCCACACTGGATTTAACAATTTCCACTGGATTTTAAATTTCTTGAATTAAACACAAATTCTCTTACTTTGAATGCAATTAGGCTGCCAACAGATGGAATTTCCTTTAAAATAGGATATTCTTCAAAATTTTCATTTGCTTTATTTATCATGGGTTTCTCTTCAAGATTCCTAAAACTGCTACCTAACTAAATAAATAAAAAACAATAAAATCTAATACCACTTGTTTAAATTATTCTAAATAACTATATAATAATAATAGTAATAGTAATGTAAATTATTTTAAATAACTATATAATAATAATAGTAATAGTAATATAAATTATTCTAAATAACTATATAATAATAATAGTAATAGAAATGTAAATTATTCTAAATAACTATATAATAATAATAGTAATAGAAATGTAAACTATTATATATATATTATATAATAATATATAATAATATATAATAATAAATAATAATAATGTAAATCATTATAATAATAATCAAATTTCTAATTCTAACCTCACTCTTGTTTTCTACTTTAGTATTTACACTTTCATCTTTATAACCCAAGTTATTTTCTTTCACTAAAATATGGTTTGGGCTTGTATTGCATTGAAATTGATTTACAATAGTGATAACATCATCACATTCCGCACCAGATTTAGCAAACAAAATGGTGGCCTAAAAAAAGTTTAAAACTTTAAAGTTTTAACGGCACAATCGCTTAAAGTACAAAACTTTAAACGACTTTAAATGCAAAATTAAAATTATATAACAATAACTACCCAATAAGGTGTGAACTACAAAAAGTTTTAAAAAATAATTCAAGAACTTAGCTTCATGAATTTTCTTGATAAATTTGATACATTAAATATTAAGCATTTCCAGAATATCAATTTATGTTTCCATGGTTAAATCAGTAACAAACTTATGACTTTTTAAAGATATTTATACAAACAGTTGATATTATTGTATGTAATTTCTTACATATGGTGGATCGTAATGGTTCGAATGTATAAAATTGGATATAAAATTCAACAGAAAAGATATAAAATAGAAAAGTGGGATAATCAATGTTTTATATCAGTAAGAAAAACATATAAACAAACAATCAGCTGATGACTGAGATATGCATATACTAGAAACAGCACTTGAATGGATTTAAACATAACACAAAAAAAATACAAGCATATATGTATATATATATATATATATATATATATATATATATATATATATATATAAATATATACAAACAAAATACATGCTACAATAATATAAACAAAATATAAGCTTAATTCCTTATTCAATCATGCTAAATAAAATTTAATGAGAGAGCAAACAGTAAAATATGCAGAGTCTAAAATATATACAAACACATGCACGCACACGCATGCACACACACACAAAATAATAACTTTTTTTGTTTATAAATAATATATAAACAAAAAAGGCAGAAATGTAATTTAAAATATATATTGTTGCTGTAAGATCCAAATAAAATTAGACAGTGGGATAACGTAGGTGAAACTTCATCCTCAGGGCAACTAATAAATTCATTATTATTTTGAAGATTAAAAAGACTTGTCAGGAATATATAATTGTAATCTTTATCATTTAAGTCATTACTGTAATAAAAAAATTGATTTTTTTCCAATAAGTTTTTATTAGAAAAAAGCAAAATACTCAAACCTCGCCCGCACTTGTGCAATGCCAATACATTTTAGAAAAAATAGGGATGCAGAGACAAATATACACAAAAAAATTTATACAATAAATGATAGATATAAACAATTTACATTACATAAATATAAATATAAACAATGAAATATAAAAACAATCTAATACAATAGTTTTTAAGTAATAATTATAGTAAAAATTATACAATAATTATTATATATATTATAGTAGTTATACAATATAATATTAGAATATTATAATAACTATAATATTATGATAATTATAATAATACAATAATTATACAATATTCCTATATAAATATACTCTTACATAAATAAATCCTTATTTGACTTAAGTATAAATTTCAGAGTTTGCTCTGTCTAGAAGTTAGTTCAAAAATCAAAATATGCTGCATTCGCCCCTGCATAAGCACCAGAGCTCTTTTCAGTTTCATAAAGACTCACTTTATGCATCTTTAGTTAAGGTTGCATCTCCAATACTGATTGGACTTTTTTTTTTTTTTTTTTTTTTTGTAGTTATTTTAGGTGCTTCCAGAAGTCCTTTAAATTTTATTACAGAGCACCCCGGGATGCACCTTCATATGTTTGAATTTTTATTGGGTTGATGATTACAGAAATAATGCAATAAATTGATGCTTTTTAAAAGCAGAAAAAGCATCACCAGCTGTATTGTAAAGCACTATTGATAAAGACAGAAAATTCTCCTACAATTCTGTCACTTAGTAGCTTGTTTTGTCAATTGATTTTGTCACTTTAATTCTGTCCATTGATTCAGTCACTTAGTAGCACATAAAGCAAAACATAATCAAAGCTGAATGAAAACAAACGCTTTCAGACAGATATCAAACCTTCAGTAGTTCATACAGGAGTATTTTTGATATCATTTTTGGTACACAATAAACTCATTTGGGTTGATGCTTTGATTTCATACTTTAAAATTATTTTTAAAATAATTGAAGAAGGCCTTGTTAAGTAGTGTTTGCATTTTACGTATAAAATAACTATTTCTCCTACGCATCAAGCCATTTTTGTTATGCTGAAATCTTTATCAGTTATAATATTTAAAAAGTCTTTTAAAAATAGTTTATATGGAAAACAAGCAGTAATTAATTTTTTTAAAAAAAAGACTTTCACTGGAATTGTGAAACAATATTTTTTTTTGATAAAAAAACAGTTCATTGAATAAATTTTTTTCTACTTTCTGTTTTTAAAAAACTTTTAATTTAAATTTATTTTAAAATATTTAAATTGAACTTATTGTTAAATATTAATAAATCTAAACTTATTAAATTTAATCTAAAATTTCTTAAAAATTTAAAACACTCTGTTTTACAATAAATTTTTTTTACTTTTAAATTTCCAAAGCACTTTAAAGAAAAGAAAATTTTTTTATCAAATTTAATTTGAGTTACTTTTTCATGTTTGTTTTACAATAAACTATTTTTTTTTTTTTTTTTTCATTCATTTGTAGTTTCAAATAAATAAATTTTTTTCATCCCGTTACAAAAGTGCTAATATACAAAAGTGCTTAACGCACTTTTAACTGTATATAAATGCATTACCAGATAAACAATAATCAAATAGGCAAAACTATTATAGAGAATCTTTTTAGTAAACTTTTATGTAACAAACTTATGAAAAAATGATTTTTTTTAGTTTTGAAACTGCCTTTTAGTAAAAGTTTTTTCATTGTCATTAATTTTTTTAGATTGCTCATAAAATAAACATCAATTGTTTTATTACTTTCTATTATATATCCAAAAAAAATGGCACCATGTTTTTTTAACTATAACAGCAGCTTTGTTCACAACAATTAATTGATACATTGAAGTTAGTTTGTAAACAGGAGCAAAATAAACTATTAAACTAGGTCCACGATGTAAGCACTTTAAAATGACATATAGCATAGAGGTTGTTTTAAATTTTGAATTATTTGCCATTCCATTAAATAATCTGCCTGAATAAGCAGCTGTTGAAACCTAAATAAGCAGCTACTACTAACCCACCTACTACTACTTGTTAATCACCAAAAAATATTTTCTTTACTTTTTAAAATTTTTTTTGCGTGTGAATTGTTTGTGGCAAAATATATAGAGTACCATTTAAATGGAAAAATCATAGTTGATTTGATTGATCATAGTTGCATTTATAAAAAAGACACAAAGTCTCAAGAGACTCAGACTCAATGGCAAAGCAGTTCTCAGCTTGAAGAGTTTAAACTTTTTTTTAATAAAATTTAGTTTCTTTTGTTATCATGTACATTTAATACAACATTTTTCAAGATTTTGCAGTCAGTTTTACAAAATTTATTTATAATAAAATTTATATAACAAAATTTATTTATAATAAAACTTTAAGTATGTTATTTTTCATTAAGTTAAGTATTACAGGTAAAAATACTGGGCTAAAAGAAAAATATTTAGAAATAGCATAATATCAAGTTTGGTCATTTTGCAAATATAGTGTCAATTTTTAAGTTTTCACTGTATTTTGTAGTTCTGTCAGCAAGAATGCATGTGTAGTAAAAATATAAAATAAATACTAATTAACTCTATTTAAAAAAATTTAGCCACTAAGTAAAAAATTCATTGTCTAAATAAATTATATTTTCAACAATATTCTTAACATGCAAATATGAACTAAATTTAAAAAAAAGGCTTTAAAAAAAAAGGCTTTAAAAAAAGCCTTTTTTTAAAGTAGAAAATCTGCGAGTAGAAAATCAGTGTTAGGATTTAGTGTTAACAGAAAACAGAAAACAGTGTTAGGATTCAATATAGTACTTAATGGAATACCACAACAAACATATTCAAATATAGCCATAAGGTAGCTTAGTCATTTCTGTATTTTATACCATTCGATTTACTTTTATACAGTAATCCTTGACAAAATCAAAAACCTATAGCTCAAATAAGTTATTTGTTCAACTGTTTTACTGAACTGAACACATACTTTATTTTGATGCTAAGTAATAAGTAAAAATTAATAAAATTTAAAATTAATAAAAATTAAACAGTAAAAATTAATAAAATAATAAGTAAAAATTGTCAGGCTTAAACTAGGTTCCTCTAAGTTTAGTTTTCTGGCCTCTGGTCTAGGATTAGAAATAATAAATTATACCTATGACACAGTTATACATATCATTTAAAATCTCTCAATTTGTTTATCTATGCAGCAGTCTTGTTTATCAATGTTCGTATTTTAAAGTTAAAAGGTTGAAAAACTCTTATTTGTTGGTATAAGCCATAGGGAATTGCATTTTTTAAAAGAGTTTTTCAATAACTGCAATTTCCTATGGCTTATACCAACAAATATGAGTTCCTATACAAAATTTTGAGTGTTTAGTAGGGTTGAACAGCTAAAAGTAAAAATTAATATTATCAAAGATTTTTAGTAATTTTATTTTAAAAATACACCTTTAAACTATATTATTACAGCCAAGAGGGCCAATATACCTCCTTAAAACTACACTGATCTCCCTTTTTTCTAAGTAATTGCACAGAAAACAGTTCCAGGGCTCAATTTAATTTTATACAAAGTCTCGGACAAAATGTCCAATCAAAACTTGTTTGGGTTGGACTCTGTCCGATCAAACTTTTACGGTTTTAAGGAACCAAGTTATAAATTATAACCTTTGTCATATTATTCAGTTTATTTAACGGTAGTCTAGTGAAGTTGCAGTTTCTTTCCTTACTATTTAGATTAATTCATTGTATTTTTTTGTTTTTTTATAAAATAGTTTAAATTTAATATTGCACCTTTTTTTAGATAGATTTCACGCTGTAACTGACAAAGTTTTTTATTTTCTTTACAATTTGACAACGGCTGTTTTGATGTTTTAACAATTTATATGCAATTAAAAAAATTGTTACGCTACAAATAACTTTTAACTATTGATCTTTTTCAAAATTTTTATTTTACTTGACGGCTTTAAATAAAATAAAATCCAAAATTAATTATAATGATTGTTTAAAAACAAAGGCATTATGTGTAAATAAAATAATTTTCTAATTTTTTTTTAAATTGGATATATAGAGTAAAACAGGGTAAAGTGAAATAGCAGGTAGAACGAAATAGTTCTACCTGCTATTTCACTGACGATGAAATAGCGATGTTTATTCTTTCGCTTTTAATTAACTATTGAATATTTTTTTTGTAAATATTTTTTGATTATATTGTAGAGAATATTTTTCAGAGTAAGATTGTATAAAATTTTATTTTTAATTAAAAAAATTTTGTTATAAATTTATAAGTTTTCGAATGCATAATAAGATTTTTTTTATTTGTTTGAAAAGGGAACTTAAAACTCTCAAAAATTAAATTCGGTATCATTGAACTTAAAATGTTTACTGTTACAACTTTTTACACTGATCAAGAGTGATCATGAGTTAAAAATGGAAACTGAGTGTTGCGGGGTTGAATAAAATACGCTAATAAATAAATAAATACGAAGCAATAGCTTATTTCTCAAGAGCGGCTTTTTTTAAATAGGCCTCAAGTGACCAATAAATCTCCAGCTATAAATTTTTGGTATAGATTTTAATGAACGAATTTTTCTAACTGAATTTAAATAACTTCTACTTACTATTTTTATAAAATGGTTCTAATAAATGAATGAAATTCACTAGTTACTCTCTTGTTAATTTGCTTACCAGCTCACTCGTCGCACATTCTACAGCCACTAGATGTTGGTGTTTATTGCCATGTCAAAAGAGTTTGTCGCAAATTACTTCAACAGTTTTATGCAGAGACAAAGTTTAGCAACTTATCAAAAGAATGTTTTAGTCACCTGCAAAAAATCTTTTCAGCTCAGGTGAAGTTTTTACACAAACCCAGATAGTCACTGGCTTGTTTCCACTCAACATCAATAAAATCGATCAGTCAAAGTTGCAAATTTCTAATTTGAAACACCGAGATCTGAACCTGAGCCTTCATAATCTCAACAACCAGAATCTATGATAGTGCCATCACCAAATCTAGCACCAGAAACTACACTACTTAAGCCACTGCCCTCTGAATCTACACAAACAACATCTAGCATCAGCAAATGTCACATAGCATCAGCTCCAAAGTCATCTCAAAAGTCACCTTGTCTGCAAACAACCTTCAATATATTGTAGTAACTCTGGCTATTCAAAAGGAAATTTAAAAAGAGGTTGCAAAACAATTGGATCAGCTTTGCAACAAATGTTTCGTATCCAACGCGTTGACACAAAAAAAAATGTAGATGTGCCAAGATTCGAAGGGGAGTGTCTCAATAAACTTGAAATACTTGAAAAGTTGAAAGATGTTGACAGCAAAAAAGCAGCAAAGCAAGCTAAAAAACAACCTAAGCTTAGCTCTAATGGAGAACAGCAAATACACCAAGCAACAAGTCCAACGAAAATATTAGCTGCAAACAAATTCAAGTGTAAAAAGTACTGAAAAGTTTTGGGCGAAACTTCAGCAAGTCTATTTATGGAATGGAACCAGTGTGAAAATTCAAATTGCGATGTTTGGCTATGTCAAACATGCATACCAAAGTAATACAAAAAAGACGCTGAGTTTTATTGCTACAAAAAGTGCCACACAAGTAAAAACTCAACTCAACCTCTAGTACCTCTAAACGGCTCAACATCATCACAAGAATAAAAAAGTTTATTTTATTTGACTTATTCTTTTAATTGTTATTATTGATTGTTTTTTTAATTGTTATTATTGATTGCTTTTTTGTTTTTTTAATAAAGTGTTGTTTTAATTACACTTATATTTGCGTATTTCATTCTCCCTGAATGTTAGTGTAGAATGAAATAAAAATTTTTTTAATCAAATAAAGTTTCATAAAAACTTTACAAAAAAATTGTTAAAATTCTATATATTTAAATACAGCTCTCTACAACTTAAAAAAAAAAAAAGGAAAAATCTTTTTTCCGTAAAAAGTTAATAATTAAAATCCTTAACTATTCCATTTGACCCCATTTTATTCTATTTTTTATGATACATTTAAACATTTGAAACTATTTTTTTAAAATAAGTTGAGTTAAATCTTCCCATAATTTTATTGCTTTTTTTTTTTGGTTTCTACTTTTACAAAAAATTGTTTAGAAGTTTTTTTTTTAATTTTGACTTACTAATTAAATAAGAAAAATATTAAAAATTACAATAATTAAATAAACAACATTATTTTTTTAATTTTAATTAATTTTTTTTTTACAACTTTTTGAAAAAAATGTCTAGACAAATTACGTTAAATTGAGTCCTGCAGCTGGTTTTAATAACTTTACCTATGTTTTAATAACTCAACTCAGACAAACTTTTACTTTTACTCAAATGACACCTTCAATAAACAACAGGATATAAAGTGCAAGAAGAAGAATGGTCCTAGTTAATTGACAGTATCAACAATAATATCAACATATTATGTTTACATTCCGGTGAATTTTGTAACAATAATGTTTTGATTGCCAATACACGGAACAAGTTATTACAATGTCTTTACTATTGAACTTCACAATCAAAATCTACCTTAATTTGCTCAACGAACTTCTGCTTCTCTTTTAAGCATTTTGTTTGATTATAATTCTGTACAAAAGCACCTTGTGGCAAAAATATTTAGGATTATATTTACTCCTAATAACTTGTGAAATAGTCTTTATTGATTATATGTTTTTAATAATAACATATTAAAATAATTAGTGCAACTTTTTGCATACTTTTAATACTTTTGAAGTTCACTTCTTGCAATTTACCCTAAGTGCATTTTGAATCTGTTTACTGTCTTACAAATAAATCCGTGTAATAATCTTTTTTTTTCTTTTTTTGTATGACACTCAAAAGCTTATGAAGCTTCTTTTTTTTAAAGATAAAAAAAATTAAAAAGTACATGGACACTTATGCTAACATTTTAAAATTGACTGAAAAGCTTCTCCTATGGAAATATTTATAAATAAACTCAACTTCTCAGAATAGCATAAAAGATAACATAGAATTAAAAAGCATAGAATCAAGTAAAGAACTTACATCATTTTTTTCTTTAGAGTCGTTATGCTCATTTGATAACTCAGCAACATCATCATCCTTAAAACATAAAATACAAATCTGGCAAATTAGCAACTTTGTATTGCCTAATTATATTTCAATAGCCTTTTATTATTTTCATTTAAAAAAATACAAGAAAGTTGTTAACTAAATATAAAAATGTAATAAAAATCAAATCTTGATAACTATATAAATCGATATTATTATTTTTTTAATTATTTTATAGATGACAATTTATGTTGAGGAGCAATCTCATCAAACTATTGAAACAAATTATTTAGGAAAAAACAGATCATTAATTTAAACTCTTTCAAACATCTTTCAAAATAACATTGAAAATATTATTAAAAATTAAGTAAAGTAAGGTAAAATGAGAAAACTTTGCCTAATTATACATACATGAAATAAACTCTAAATAAACATATAATCAAACCAATCAAATAGTTAAACCAATCAAATTAAAGACCAAATTTTAGAACTAAAATATAATTTTGCAATAAAAATAAGAAAAGATTAAACTTAAAAAGTTAAAGGTATGTACATGTAGGTACACAATATTTTAACATGTATCTACTCCTAAACATCAATCATATGTAGCCGATTACAACTAAATAAATTCTAGAGTTGTAATCAGTGGGTCATTTGCATTTATTTCACTATAAACACTGCACAAACATAACATAAATCTTCATCATTTAAATTTTTAAATTTGAAAACCACTAGATGTATTTAAAAGTTTGGATCAGCAGGAAACATTTTTATCTAATTGCTTTTTCGATTTGACTTGTAATGACAGTTGTAAGTGAAACTTTATAAGAAGATGGTTTAATAATGTTGTTCTTAATAACGTTGCAAGAAAAGCAATATTGAGGTTTTGAGTAAGTAGGGTTACAATTCTTTTTCTGAGAAGTTAATATAGTCCTTAAAACAGATATGTTTTTGACTTCTTGCTCCTGATTTTTTTTTATTGAATGCAATGAAATAAACACATCTTTAATCAAAATCTTTTACTGCATTTTTTAAAGGACAAAAACCTTTTTTTTTTAGGTCTTATTTTATTAAAAATATTGTAAGAGAACTATTAAAATTATTGTTAATAACATTTTAGGCAATGTTTAGCAGTCTCAGTCAAGTACTTGAAAAAAACTTCTGTTTTTTTTACTTAATCAATACTTAAGTGGTTGTAGAAATACTTAGAGGTAGATTTTTTTCAAACTGTTTTAATAATAATCTGTATTGCTTTAATGGTCACACAACAAATTTGTTTTCAAATAAAAGTATTTTTGATATAAGTGGTATGTAAGTATAAATCATGTACATTGTTTTTAAAAATCAATTTTACTCCCAAAAACGCTGCAAGCAACCGCTATTAAAGCTATTAAAGCTGTATTAAAGTTACCAAAAAACAAAGAAGTTATTTACATGCAAGATATCAATTGACAGAAGACTTGAAGAACTTGTAATTGTAAGTATAAGAAACAAAGTTTTAGTCAGGTCTTGAAATGATTTTAACCACCCAAAGGAGTACAAGGAGAAACTAGTCATATAATAGGGTTAAAGATAGGCACACTTCAAGGAATTAAGGTAAGATAAGATTTATCCTTGTTGGCATAGCAATATCATATTTTGTTTGTGATGATTAGATTTTTGGAAAATTAGTCATAAAGTTAACTGCCTGAATAAGAGAATGAAAAAGACAAAAATTTTGATCTTTTTAGAGCCAGCAGGGTTAGTGATTGGTCAGAGAGCCAAGCTATTCATTCAGCCATTCAGTATGATGAACATCAAATCACCAATACCAACAATATGGAAAATTAACTTTGATCAGAAATAAAATGGAAAATGATCAGAAATAACAAAACAGTCAGAAAAATCAAAATCAATTGTATAAGAAATAACATCGAAAACGGCGAGGTCTTCTGGAGAAAAATTAAGATTAAAGAAATAGATTGAAATAAAATAGTGAGAAGGTGCTAAACAAAAGCATCGTCTGAGGACTCAAACCTGATTTTACAACCAATAGACAAGTTTTTTACCCAGGCCGAGCATGTGAATATTGAAGTATTTGGGAGTCAAAGGATAACAGCCATCAACACAAATAATAAGAAACAAAAATAAAACAGCCAAATTTAATTTAATATTACAAAGTAGATCTGGTGAATTTGGCAAAAAATGTGAGTTATAAATGAAAAGTTACTTTAAAAACCACAAATGTTTAGTAAAGGTAGGTAAAAACAATTTGGCGGTAATGACTGTTTTTGACCATTATTAAAAAGCCTCTTTGTCTGTTGTGGCCTTCTTAGCCTTGAAGAGATAAATTTAAATTGAAAAAAAAAATCTATTAACAGTTGCTGTGCAACGCAGTACTAAAGTAGCTAAAATGATTTACAAAATCAACTTATTTTAACATAAAAGTTTTATTTTAAATATATTATAAAAATAAATATTTAAAACTTTTCTTTGCAATAATATTTGCTTCATAATAACAAATATACTATATTGTAAACTATAACAATGTGTATTTATTATTGTTTATGAATGAAAAATATTACATTTTCACTGTTCATTTCAAATGGTCAGGTTTACCTTCTACTGGCAACATCTAACCCAGTACAATCTGCTTTATGTCCTGCTGCCTTATAGAATATGCTTTTTTAGGCAAAAGCTAGGAAAAGCTGACTCCGACTTAAAACATCCCTTACCATGGGGTTCTTGGTTGAGAAAAGGCTAGAAATGGTGTTTCGATTAATATACTCATCTTGGGCAGATATTAAATGTACCTAGCTACTGCCTTGAAGAAGGTATTTTTGTAGTATATATTAATGCGGTAGTGATGTAGTGGCAAAGCGCTCGCTTCATAAGCGAGAGGTTCCAAGTTTCATCCCCATCAGGTCCGTGGCAGTACTGTACTCAACTCATTTCTCCGCGCAGAGGCCTTGTTTGTCAAGGTTCGTGTTTCGGAGTTATAGAGTTGAGAGAGGGTTATAACCACAAATAAGTAGCCTCCTCATCTGTAGTGGCCTTCTCGGCCTTGAGGAGGTGAATTAACAAAGAAAAAAAAACAAAGAAAAAAAAAACTTTAAAATATTGTTTCCAGTTTAGGATGTTGAACACTAGATCTTCTTGACTCAATGCATGCGTTTTGCTTGTGTCACTGTTTTTATGACTAGGCAAATCATTCTATTATCTCCTAATGAGGGTACAGCTCTAAAACTCAGTTTTATGGTTCTAAGGCCGGCTGGTAGTCAGGTTTCTCAAACTCTGTGGCAGATCTCAGAGAGGCTGATTACATCAACAGCTGAAAAATATCAAAGTACTAACAGTGCCATGTTGCGCATGGATGGTGTCCCTGTTTGTACTTTGGTGAGCATTGAGGCCACATTTTGAGCCCTATGTTACGGTTTAGGGTTTATTAATAGTAATGAGGCTATTGCTTGGGCTATTAAACAGTGTACTGAGTACTATCTATGCTTTATGTCAAGTTCTTTAACAAATTTAAAAATGAATAAAGTACCAAAAACTATAAAACACAAAAAACCATAGTCATCACCAAGTTCTCTAAACCTATCATTCACTAATAATTGCACTCTTTAAAGTAATTTTTTTTTTCTGTTGAGTACTTCCTCTTATTGAGTCTAATTTGAGTTCAGCTGTCTCATCTTGTGATCTTACTGTTGATGGTTATCTTCCTTTAATTCGTAAACACTCCAATAGTCACAAGCTTGGCCTAGTCATTTACATTCGTAAGAATTCAACCCATTTGTCGGGAAACTAGGTTTGAATCCACAGAGTATTCTTCTATGTGCTTTCATTTAGCACCACTTCACTTAACTGATTTTCTCTTTGTTCTATATCGCTCTCCCTTTATGTCAAGACTGCACTCTTTTTGATGTTTGTTCTGATCAAATTGACCTAGACCACTCTCTTTATCTATCAGCCAATATTGTTGTTGTTGGTGACTTTAATGCTCATCACACTAAATGGCTTGGCTCTACTGTCAGTGACTCTGCAGGCATTAAAGCTCTCAACTTTTGCCTTTCGCAATCTCTAACTCAAATAGTCAACTTTCAAACTCCCTTTCCAGACAACCTGAATCATTTACTTTCTCTACTCGATTTATGTCTTGTTTCTGAAACTATTCAGTGCTCAATTTCACCACATTCACCCTTAGGTGCTTCTGATTACGGTTTGATCTCTCTAAAACTATTATCTCATTCTTCTTCATTATCAGAATCCCCCTATAATCGTACCTCTTACAACTACCTTAAAACTGACTGGGACTCTTTTTGTGATATTCTTTGTGATGACTCTTGGGTAGAAATCTTTTATCTTCCTGCTGACAAATGTGCTTCTTACATAACTTCGTGGATTCAAGCTGACATGGAATCTTTTATTCCCTCTCGATGATTCCAGGTCAAGCCTCACTTTTCTCCATGGTTTTCCTCACATTATGCCACTGCAGTTTCCAATTAAAACCACTACTTCATATCTATCAGCAAAACAATTCTCTAGAAAACAGACGTCTGTTTACTATTGCTAGAAACCATTCTAAAAAAGGTTTTGTCTTATGCCAAAGCTCCCTATTCTCAGGTAATGAAATCTCATATTTCACCACAAAAATTAGGCTCTTGTGACTTTGTGACGGAGAATCTTTAACAGTATCAATAATAAGTATCAAAACAGTATCAAAAATAAATCTGTTATTCCACCTCTCTTGAATGGTTCAGACATTGTCACCTTACTTAAAGGTAAAGCTAAGTTGTTTGCTAATAACTTTTCATTAATATCATCTACCTGATATAGCGGTCAAACAGGTTGATGCATTGCTTGACATTCCTATCACTCTACTATCTGTATCAAAAGATTTCCTGCTCAGACTCCTCTACAGCTTGTGGTCCAGACAACAACCTGTTATAGTCTTGCAAAAGTGTTCTCCTGAGCTGTCATTTAAACTTTCAAAACTATTTAACAAGTGCTTATCAGAGTCTTGTTTTCCAGTCTGCTGGAAAGCAGCATCTGTTATCCCTATTTTCAAAAATTCTGGAGAACAATCTGATTTGTCTATTTACCGTCCCATTAGTCTTTTTCCTATCATAAACAAGGTTTTTGAATCTTTAACTAAGAAACACTTAACCTACCATCTTGAATCTAATAACTTACTTTCTGATCATCAATATGGATTTGGATCTTCTTGTTCTACAGCTGATTTGCTAACAGTAATAACCGATAGATTTTATTGTGCATTAGATAGAGGTGGAGAGATTAAGGCTATCGCTCTTGATATTTCTAAAGCTTTTGATAATGTTTGGCATGCTGGTCTTCTCCATAAGCTTTCTTCTTACGGTGTATCTGGAAACATCTTTAAGATTATTGAATCCTTCTTTTCAATCGTAGTATAAAAGTTGTCCTTGATGGACAGCACTGTTCTTATTCTGTAACTTCAGGGCTTCCTCAAGGTTTAATCCTTTGCCCTATCTTCTTTTTAATTTACATTAACAATCTTCCAGATATTCTCACATCTAAGATGGCATTGTTTCTGATGATACAACCATTTATTCCTGTCATGATAAGAAGCCAACAATCTCTGATTGCTCCGGATTCTATTCTCTATCTCTATAAATCTCAAATCCAGCTTTGTATGGAATACCGTTCCTATATCTGGGGCGGATCTCTATACATCTCAAATCCAGCCTTTTACGGAATACTGTTCTTATATCTGGCGCGGATCTTCTAATGATGCCCTTTCTCTTTTAGACAAGGTGCAAAAACGCATTTTAAACATAAATGGACCTGCTCTTGCTATGTTGCTTTTCTTTCTCTTTTCTACAAATACTATAATAGGCACTGATCTAAAGAGCTAGTGTCTCTTGTGCTATCTACTAAAATTGATTTTTCTTATTTTACTTTATTTTTAACTAATCTTTTTTATTCTTCAAAATAATTTCCTATGCTTTTCCTTTTCATTTTCTTCCTTTTCACCGTTAAATAAACGTCTTTTCACAAAAGTGAAAAATATAAAGTTTAAATATAAAAAATATAAAGACTTTATATTTTTCACTTTTGTGAAAAAATTAACTGGTTTTTTGCATGTGGTGTGGATGACATTACTGTCACAGTTTTGCAAAAGTGTTCTCCAGAACACTGTTCATACTCACTAAACTATATAACAAATGGTGATTTGAATCTAGTTTTTCTGCCTGCTAAAAAATGACATCTGCAGTTCCTATATTTAAAAACTCTTGAGATCACTCTGACCCCCTCTAACTATTCCCCAATCTTATTACTATTCTTAAAAATTTTTTTGAAATTCTAGAGTGTTTCTTTGTTAATGTCCTTGTTTAGAACATTTTTATCATATAAAGGCTGGTTTCTTTAACGAAGCTTGCTCATTTTTAAACAAGGTCTAAAATCTTTCATTTTAAATGTTGTTGTAAACCTGCTCTAACAGGCAGTGCTTAACCTGGTTTTGCTGAAGTAATGTTGCATTTCTACAAATATTATCATAGTTGTTGCTAAAGTAAGTTTTGAATGACTTATCATACTATAATTTTTCCTGTGTGGTTAAAAAACTTTTAGATCATTTTTTTCCTTGAATGTCAGAGATTTTAAATCCTATTCTGTCTTCATGTTTCCTTGATAGTTTTCGAAGTCTTCTATCAAACACTTTATTTCTTTTTAATTCTACTTTACTTTATATTAATTCCCAATTCAGTAGTGATTACTTGCAGCTATGTTTTAAGTAAGTTCATTAAAAAAAAATTACCAGTTTAAAAATTTTTTAATCTATAATAAATTATAAATTAAACATCGTACTAGAATATTTTAAACAAAATTAAAAAACTCTTGAAAAGAGTTTTTTATTTTTATTTAAGACTATATTGTATAGGTGTATGTAATCATAAGGATTTCAGTATATAACTAAGTACATGGTTGTATGCAATTATTTATAAGGATAACTGTATATAACCGCATTAAGTGAAATATAAAACGGTAAAACAAAAAATTAAAAAAAGCTTACATCGTCATTGTCATTGTCAAGTTCTCCCATTTTATTATTTCTTCTGTTTTTTCTCCTTAATCTTCTTCTACGATTTCGTTCTGTTTTTTTTGATAGCGTCTGATTGTTTGATTTTGAAGTAACTTCATTTAATACTTTCATATTATCTTTATCTGATAATTTTCTGAGTTCATTGAGAGCATTTCTTGAACTGGTCAAAATATCTGAAGAATCTGTATTTATTGAATTTTCAGTTACTTTAGAAAAACAATGATTACCTGATTCATTAAAAGACTCTCCACTAATTATAATTTCAGATGTATTTTCATACTTATCTTTTTTTGCCATTAGTTTTGCATGATCAATATTCTTTTTAAATGGTTTGTCTTTGTTTGGTAAACATTCCTTTCCATTAAATTTTGGTACTTTTTCTATTAGGTTAGAGGTGTTAGGGGTTGAAACTGAATTTCTGTTTAAACCAGTTATTTTAAAGTCCACTCCTGTTTTTGATGAATATGATTTAGAGGTCATACATAACTCACTGGGAACAGATTCAACTGGTTTTAAACTAACAGGTTTTGTTTTAACCATGTAGGTACTATTTTTTGGAATTTCAGGTTTTTGTGTTAAATTTATTGTTTGTTTTTTTACAGTCAGTTTGTCCACAGAACTATCACTAGAACTAGATGATGAAGAATCTGACGATGTTGAAGATTTTCTTGCTTTTGGTAGGTTCATTTTGGTAGACTCATTTTTTTGTGATACATCTTTGCTTTTTGTAACAATATTTGTGTGCTTTTTTATAGTAGAACTTTTTTTATCGGAATCTTCGCTTTCACTAGAAGACGAGGATGAAGAATCTGAAGAACTTGTAATGTTTTTTTTACTCACATTTTCTATAAGTTTATTTTTTTGTTTAACATCTTTTTTTATATTACTTGAAACTCCAAGTTGGCTTAATGGCAACACCTTTTTCAATGTTGTTGCTGAAGAACATATTCTTGTAGCTGCTGTTGTTGGCAAAGAATCTATTTTTATTGCTTTTGACAAAGACAAAGTAGGTTTTTTGAAGTCACTACCTGATTCTTGAGCTTCAGAAGAATCATTATTTTTAATTTTAACTCTTTTTGAATTTGATTTTATAGATGAGTCACTGTCAGCTGATGTTGAAGAGGATGGAGTTATCTTCCTGAAGAATTAAATAAAAAAAAGATATAAAAAGATTATTTAAATAAATAAAATATAAGTACATAAATAAGTAGTCGAATATAAAAAAATCAAATTATATATAACAAATTTTATAATAATAACGTAATTAAAACTAATATATTATAAATATTATATAACTTTTTTTTTAATTACTTAAGTATTTAATTATAATAATTTAAAAAATTTTTTAATCTAAACAGAATAAGCATGATCGTACTAAAAATAACTGGGTTTTAGATCTGTAAAACACCTAACAAAATCCTAAACCTTGTATTAGGTGATCAGAAAAGTCTTATTAATAATTGATCATAAAATTGCTTAGTTATTAAGTCTTGGTCATAAATGTACAAGAAACTCTGTCAACAAGTTCTGTCAAAATTTTTATGGTCAAAAACACATAAATTATTTTTCTTAATTCATAGATAAAAAATATATAACAGCAAAAGCAGTTATTTGTTAAATAATGTTAAAAGATAGAGTGTTAACTTACTTCACGCAGAATATATATATATATATATATATATATATATATATATATATATATATATATATATATATATATATATATAAATATATATATATATATATACATATATATATATATATATATATATATATATATATATATATATATATATATATATATAAATATATATTGTATATATGAGCCATTTATTTTGAAAGTGGCATAAGCCAATTTATTTTTTAACAAAGATTTATAAAAGTTTGTGTTTTAACATATACAATTATACCATTAGCTAGTAAAACTTTTTTCTAAAATATCTCAATTGAATATCTCAACACAATTGGTTCAAGCTTAAGAGTTTTCATTGTCCTTGCCAAAATTGTTTGCAAATTACTGGAAATTCAAATGCTTATTAACCTACGGTTGTATGTGTTATTAAAAAGTATTTATAAAATAAAACATTCAATTTTTTTATTAGAGAAATTCATACTATAAGATTGCTCTGAAAACAAATTCAACAATGAAGTAAAACTCTTTTTTTGTTTATTATAAAAAAAAGTTATTAAAAATGTATTAAAACACTAAAAAATTATAAATTAATTTAAACTAGGTTGGTAGTTATATTTGGAATGAATAATTTAGACTCTTTTCTATGTTACTCAAAATACAAAGTTAGAATTATGGACAACTTGAACTAAGTTTAAAAAAATTACTATAAATTTTTTATTTTATTTTGATGTTAAACCACCTCTCCCCCCCCCCCCCCCCATGCTTGAAAAGGCTACTACAGTCAAGGAGGCTAATTTAGTTGTTGTTAAAATCCTTTCTTAAGTCTATAACTTCGAAATGCGAACCTTGATGAACAAGCATGCTGCGCAGAGAAACAAGTTAAGCATGGTACTACTAGGAACATGGTGGGGATCAAACTCAGAACTTCTCGCTTATGAGGCAAACGCTCTACAACTACACCACTACCAAAATTTTCTTAACTTCATATTAGCTCAAGCCCTAAATTTACAGTAAAAGCTTACTTTCAAAAAGGGGTTTTGAGATTCCATCTAAAGGTAAGTTTTCACTCATTCGCTTTTTTATAGGAACAGGATAGGAAAGGGAAAAATAATCACCTAAGTATGCGTAGTTTTCTTTTAGACAAATTAAAACTAATACTACCCATGCCCACATAACTATTTTTCTCTTTCCATTCTCGTTCCTGTAAAAAAAACAATGAGTGGAAACTCACCTTAACATATTTATAAAAAATACCTGAGGTATTACAATATCCAGAAAGAAAAAAAAAAAATTCAACACAGATTTCTTTTTTGATTAGGAGCTGCCATCTGAAAGAAACAGGCAGAACTCATTAATGAACTTCTTCAAAAAATTTAATAGCTATAATGACAATATTTAACCATTTATATTTAAAACAACATATGCTGAAACATGTCCTTGCTATTTATACTAGAAGATCAACTTGAAAATTTTTCAAAATCTAGATCTAGTTTTCTAGATATCGGACTTCAAATTTTAATAAATATTTTAGGATTATTGACCGAATAGTGTCAAACATATTTTTAACCTAAAATTAGAACAAAACTCATACAGCCTTTCATTTTTATTTTTATCTTATTTAATTTTTATATGATAGTTAAATGAACTATGCCTAAGTTTTTTCTATATGAAAATTTTTGAAAACTCATTTTCACGTTACAAACAATACACCAAAAGATTAAAACTTTATTTTTAAGTTGGATTTCACAACTGTTTGAATATTACATAGAATGTGACGTAGATTTTTTCATACTTTAGATATGACATTTTTAGACATTCATGTTTAAGTATGTTTATACTGATGTAAAGTGAGAAAAATCAATTTTTGTGTTCTGGCAATACTTACTTTAACCTTTTTTATCATTTTTAGTTCTGAACCAATAATAAATAATCATACCTATTGAAAAGTATGCTCTACTTTCAAGTTTAAAAGTGATTCGACACCATTAGGTCAATATTCCTAAGATATTTGTCCAGCTTTAAAGTCCAATATCTAGAGAACCAATAAATATTTTTAATTTTATTTTAGATATTTTATTTTTGGAAATTTACCTTCTCGTATGAATAACATTAACATACTAAAAAATAACAGTTTCAATGAAGTTTTGAATCAGTTTTGAATAGGAATTGAGCTCTGCGTGATTCTTACAGAAAGTTTAAACAAATAAAAAGCAAATTTAAACAAATAAAAGAACCTTTTCTTTAAAACTCTTTGAAGATCATCTTCTAAAACAAAATATAAAAACATTAAATGCTTAAAATTCTTTGCAAGATCATAATATTAATTTGAATGAAATAAAATGCAAAGAACTAGTAAACATTGTAGAGTTTTTTTTAGAAAAAATAAAAATATTACAAATGCACTAAACGTGATAAGTAATAGAAATAATAGAAAAACCAAACATACTGGAATTGCAACAATATTTAAGAAGTTAATAATAAAATATATTAAAATAAAACTCAGGAATTAGAGCATATAAATCACCTAAAATATAAACAAGCATTTAAAAGATAATACAACTAAAATTTTTAGCAGATTTTAAAAACATAAGATCATTTATTAATTATACTCTGCATCTTGTTTCTATTATTCAATATGAACTTAAAAAATATGAAATAATAATACAATATAAACATTGTTTTAATTGTTAGCGCTTTTTATTGCTACAAGGATTTTTAATGATACTTCATTTACTTTTTTATTTTTTTTCTTGTTTTAATAAGTTTATGATTTAAAAAATGGAAAACCCAAAACTTAAAATATAATTCAACATGTAAAACAATATATTTTTATTGACCTCAAAGATAAACATATCAATCAGCCTAGATTTTTTTTTTAAGAAAAAATCAAGAAGCCTAATATTTTCTTTGCAAATAATGACATTAAAATTAATTAATTTTTTTTTTTTAATTTTAGAAAATTAACTTTTAACATATTTTCTCAAATTTGAGACATAAAAACACAAAGTGGGGATCCCTTTAAAAAAATTTTTTGATCTAATGACCTATGAAAATTAATATTTTATTCACTTGTAGTGAATACGCAAAAAAACTATAAAAAACATTACTTACCAGTGTTTTCTTTGTAATTCACAATTCTAAATAAAAATTTGTGTTTATTAATATTTATTTTAAACATTATATTATTATAGTATATAATACAACAACATTAAGCTACATTATAATTATCTAAAAAATTAAATTTTTAAAGGGTTACTTATTTGTACTAAAAATAGACAACTCAATAAATTTACTTTAAATAGACTGAAACTGAACTTTAAAAGTCAATTGTTTTTTTTTATTAGGTGAAAAATAAAAATAAAAACTTAAACTGACATTCAAAAAGTATTTTCAGCCATTATTAAAGCCTTCGACATTATATAAGCCTTCGACATTATTTTTATAATTAACTGAATATTTTAGTTGTTTCTACTTAACAAAACAAGATAAAACCAGATTAAAAAATTATACACTTGTTTATTAATTTTTATTACAGCTCCTTAGTTGTGGTAAAGGAACCTTTATATATATATATATAAAAAGCATCTCTATAGCCAAACAACTACAATTAAGGAAATAACTATTTTTTCATCGTTGTTGCAGCCCTTTTTTAATTCCATAGCTTTAAACCTTGACAAACATGGCCAATAGGTAGACTTGTTACTTTATTCATTAAAACTTTTCTTCCCAGCTGTAAAATCAAAAAAAAATCTGGATCAGCAAAACTGATTCCTAAAACTTAATTTTTAAAAAACGGTTCCAACATAACTTAATTAAGAAAATAGATTTTTTTGAACTCTGCTTAAACCACACAAATGTGGAATTATGGATAACTTGGAATGTGTTTAAACAAATTACTATAAAATATAAAAGTAACAAAAACAATTTCAATTGAATGCAAATTCAAAACATTTTCTTGATAATATTTAATAAAAATATTAACATTTTGGAAATACATGAATGTTGTTATCTTAGCTATCATTTTTTTTAATGAAAAGAAACGAATAATAATACTCAACACACCTAGAAAATCATAAGATATCTTTGAACTACAGGACTATTTAGTTAATAATTTTTTTTTTATTTAAATAGTTTGATTTTTCATCTGTGTTGATAAATTATGTTGCATGTATTGCACAGTGTTATAAAATAGGTTCTAACCTTAACTTACTGACCTGGGAAAACCCTTTGGTGAAATAATAGTTTTTACTATGGGATTACTTAGATATAAGTATCAAAATCAGATTACAAGATCCTGGCAAATTATTTACATTTGAATTTTCTTCTCAGTTAAAACACAAAATACATATTAATACGTATATTAAACGTTTAAAATACAAAACCTGTTTTAAACCTTTAATATACATATTAATATGCGTTAAAATGTATTATAGATGTATTAAACATGCCTTGTGTTTAATAAAATATTTTATCAATTGCACAATCATGCAAAATGAGACCTTATTTTGCTTTTTATAGTATTAAAAACCTCCAATTTACACACATAGATTATCCTGGCCATATTATAAAAATCCGGAGATTTTTTTTCCTTAAATATCCGGAAAAAATCCGGAAAATTTTTTTGTAATATCTGGAGTTTACAAAGAGATGTTAACAAGGAGGGAGGGGGCGTGCTCTCCTCCATTCTTTTATATTACTATAATATTACGCCAGTTTAAGAGTATTATTCACCGTATAGATAAATAAAAAATTCACCTTATTCACCGTATAGATAAATAAAAAACTGCATAGTTTTTTCATCAAAAAAAGAATAATAATAATGATAAAATTTTAACAATAATAATAAGAAGAAGAAGATAAAGTCAAAGAAGAAGTAGAAAACTATATTCAGGGCCGGCGCGAGTAGGGGTCACGTAGGGGGTGGGGGTGCCATTACAACTTTTGCCATTCAAAAAAAAAAAAAAAAAAAAAAAAAAAAAAGAAAAAAGTCCTTGTTTTTTAAAATTTACCGACTGCCATAACGACATTTGCCCACACCCCCCTATCGCGCCGGCCTTGACTATATTTAAATGCTGTTAAACAATGCAGAAACTGTTTTAGACATGCACTTATACATTTAAATACATAATGGATAATGAAATATTGCTTCAATTCACCAAAGATATACAAATAGATAAACGTTTAACGCGTTGTTAGAGATCAGAGGCGCCACCATAACTGAAATCCCATAGACGTTATTTGAGCGTTTTGGTTTTTTTGTAGTAATTTTACAAAATAAACCGACATATATCCGAGACTTTTGCTTGCCAACTTCTTTCAGTAAACATTTTATTACCTGTAAAACACCAACTTTTGGAAAATATAAATGATTTTTTTTTTAACTATTTTCGGAGCATACTTCAATTGCAGTAAAAAAAAAAGGAACTAATAATAATAATAAACACCAGACTTCTAAAATACAAAAAATTAGAAATCTTTTGTAATAAATATGTTAAAAAAGAAAATAAATAAATAAAAAATAAAAAGATATTGAATTATTTTTCTGTAATCAGTTAGTTTTCTACAATTAGTTCTTCCACTCAGAGTTTAAAATGTTTTAAACTTAATTTACAAAGTCTTCTTTTATAAAAAAATCTCTACGTTCAAAAACTAAAAAAGTTTAAACTTTTTAAATTTTAAGTTTATTTTAACTATGATAAACAAAAGGCGAGGCATTATTAATGATTCACGTGATCATTCATACGATTCAAAATTTAAAAGATTTAAAAAAATGATTTTTTTAAAATCTTTTAAATTAAAAAAAAAAAAACATATTTTTAAATCTTTTTAAAAAAGTGACTTTTTTTAAAAAAATATAATTAATTTTAACAGGCACTTTTTGAATTGAAAAGAAAACGTGCCTCGAAATGCGATGTTTTTAAAAACCTAGTAATGGCATTTAAAAGCAATTTGATTCACTTGACCTTTAGTCAAAGTACATATGTTTAGATTTCTTTAAAATAATTACATAGAATAAAATCCTTATAGTTTAGAATATAGTTTTATTATATAACACTTATTTGTATGAAATAACTTATTACTAACAAAGAAATTAATCTTAGTCAGTAATAATAAATTTTTTTTATAAGTTTTTTTCACTCTTTACGAAAACAAGTTGTACTGCATGACCATAATGTTACACCACGGTATTATAGTAACTGTAAGATTAATAGAAGTTTCTACTAGTTGAAGGTCATACCAAATTTCTTATTCTTAGATCAAACTATACATTGTTTCACTGTTGTCTAGAATTAGATTTTACTAATCTCAAAAGAGTTTAAATTTAACGATATTTCTCATATTTGACGGAAATTAAAAACTGATTTCTAAACGAGTACCGTTTATTCTACCATCGTCAAAACTTTTTAAAGTCTCCAATTAATAAGAAATTATGCGAAAAAATGATACTTTCAAGAAGTGTGTACAAAAAGAGACTTGCAATGGTACGACTGGACAGAAAACGAAATAATGATGCAGTAAATTTTGAACCACCGACAAACAAACTGAAAAAAGATTCAGTCCATAAGCGAAGCGATTTACTTGAAAAAAGAAAGTTTTTAACAATAAAAAAAGAAATCTCTTTGATAATAGCTAAAAGAGCTTGTTAAAAAATGTAAATTTACAATATTTTTAAAAAGGAGAAGAGTTTGACACGCATCGCTGACACGCATTTTATTTTTGATTATTTATTTTTGATTATTTTTATTTATGACACGCATTTTATTTTAAAAGTAGGAGATCATTCGCTCTTTTGCGCTGGGATTTTTCTTGAACTTTAATTAAAATGCTTATTCATTTTTGGTTTACTCTGCGAGGGAAATCTTTTCATCTTTTTTTGGCTTTGTTTGTTAACTAAATATAGCGTTCCGTAATTTATTGACAACAAATTTACTGTTTATATTTACTTGTTACTGTTTCATTTGATGACAGTAATAAACAGAAAAAATTTTATAAATTGTATTTTCGAGAATTATTTAATTATCCGGAAAATATAAAAAAATTTAAAAATATCCGGAATTCCGGAAATATCCGGAAAAAGATAATTCCTGTACACAGGCTTTCACAGGAAGCCGTGCGATTTCACGTCTTTATATGACCACGCAATAAAAAAATGTTTTAACGATTTGACCACGGCATATTTTTAAAATTTAAAAACGCACTACAAAAACTTATCTGAAAAAAAAATCTAAAAAAATAATAAATATCAACGAAAAAGAAAATAAAAAAAATACTTAGTTGAAGCTAAAACACAATATATATATATATATATATATATATATATATATATATATATATATATATATATATATATATATATATATATATATATATATATATATATATATATATATATATATATATATATATATATACATAAAATGCAACTAAAACAAAACTCATCAAACTAAAATGTTAGTCTATTTAATTTAAGCATTAAAAAACCTTTTCAATCTTTGTTTCAACATTTTTATATATTTTTTATTTATTTAATATGTTCAAAAGTTAAATATTTCTCATAAAAAATACATAGTTATATAAATAAAATAAAAAAATATTTTATTAATACTTTTTTTAAAATTAATTAGAAGTGTTTTTTTTTTTACTTCATTAAAAGCGTTTCGATAATATAAAAGCATTTAAGATCAAACTTATTAAATTGTAACGGTTTTCTATAAAATATTTTTTTAACAAAATTTTGTTTATCTTTTTAAATGCATTAACTTTAATCATTCTTATATTTAAATTCGTTAAAGAAACTTTCGTAGTCGTAGAATGTCATCGTTTATAAAAACAAAACAATTTTTTAATTTTTAAATAAGATTTATTTTAGAAATGAACACTTAAACAATTTATATGTTTTTAAAATATATATATATAACTGTCAATTATATTTAAAAAACAAAACTTTTTTTTCAGTAAATTGTTACTTGATTTCAGTAAATTGTTTACTAAAATCGTTTCACTAATATAAAAACATTTGTTAAGAAGTTTTGATGTAATTAATTTCACTTTTTTAGAATATTTTTTATTTAGTGCATTTCTAAAATGTTTTTTGAATTAGCGGCGGTCAAACCGTCATAGCAAAATGTAACTTGCA